CCATGATAAATTATGTCGATAGCCATTGAGAATAAACGAATTTGTTTGCAAATGTTTTGGAACTTGATCGTAGGCATAAAGCCTTCTGTGTTTTAACCACCACAAGTAGTTAATTCTTCTCGCATTTTCAAATGACAACTCATTCTTTCCATTATACGGACACATATCAGTTTGAAATTTTGAACGAGAGCGGCGATACTTTTCCATTTTTCTAAATGCAAAATAATTTATAGAGACTTTCAGTATGGATTTTAGGTTTTAGAAAAATTACAGTACTTCAACTTCAAATTCTGGTTAATAGATTGTTCACTTAATAAGTTTTCCTGTAACGTTTTGTTTGTCATTTTAAGGTCATCATCGAGTATTTGTTAAAGAATGTCATGAACAATCTATCGATATTATACTATTAAGGCCTCATAATATTTGATCTTGTAAAGAAAAAAGAATATATCTGCACAAAGTTATAACATAAATTTGACACGGTTTTTTTAATTTTTTATTTGGTATAAATAAAAATCGTTCATAAAAAAAAGTCACAATCTTAGTAACTTTCAAGGCTGCAATTCATGTAAGTGCAGAATTATGCGGTGTAGTATGTCTATTCAATAATACTTTACACATACACACACACTTAACGATTATCTAAAAATGAGTCCACTGAGTAGTCTTCATTAGAATACTGTTTTTCAGTGGTCATCAATTGATATACATTTAGGTATTCATCAAAAATGGAAAAACGTCAACTCTATGAAGCAGTCAAAAGCAATTCAAAAATAACCATAGGTAATGTTCTTCATCTTTCTCCATCATCAAAAGCACATAATGATTCTTATTAAACATTTATTAAACAAAATTCGTAGTATATATCATTGTTATATCACTTGTTAACCCTTTGGGAACGGAATTATTTTTCAATTGAAAAATGGTTCTTTCGTCAATTTATTGTATGTGGATCAAAATGATTACATAAAAGCCTTATGACAATACATCAAGATAAGAAAGAAAGTGATCATGGCATCAATGTATAGAGCAGAAAGAAAAGAGAAGATCTGAGAAGCATCTATATGACAAGAAAAAAGAGAGGAAAGATATGCATGCGATGGTAGCTGGAACGACCTATTACCTTACAGATGATAATAGTTTTATGAGAAACAAACATTTTCCTTATTGAAAAATAGGTGGTACAACCCTTGTATCACCGGTCCCAAAGGCTTAAAGTTAATGAAAAATTAATCTTGTATGCTAAAAACCAGTGACTAGAAGTAATTGTGATAAATACTGCCGATATGATGAGGATTTCGTATACATCTTGGTTTTAAAAAATCGAGTTTCCGCGTGGTCTTGGATATTCATTCCTTTTTCGTACCCTCACACGTTATCTTGTTGATTATAGTTGAATGATAATAGGGAAGTTTATGTTTAGACTCTTTCTCTAAACACTTAACAATCGTCTCTAGTAGTTCCCTAGAAAAAAGCCGATAGGTACTGTATAAGTCAGAGTTTACGTTCAACATTTCAATTCCAGATCGAACACTAGTCAAGAAATTATGTATCTTAAAAACTAAGTAACATGAGCGGATGGCTTTTTATAACATTCAAACGTGCTTGACACGCGAAGGCCTCAAGATGTATCTACATCACTTGTATTTCTTGTTCAAGAAGCTGAAAAACTTTGTGCGTATGAGATACAAACTACGTCTAAGAGTGATATTTTTGATCAATGGAACAAGATAAATAGGAGTGTTTGTATGTTAAAATGAAAAATAAAAAGTGCTCAAACTTACCACTGTTGATACCTTGCAAAAATATACGGGTGAATCATGAAAGAAAATTGATAGTAAAGTTGTCATAACTGTCGGCAACTGTTTTCAGATAAAAATTACTTACTTTGAAAGAGAAATTTGCTCAATAAATACCGAGTGAAAATCCTCAACTTGAGAAAAAAAGAAAATTGATCCAGATTATCGTTCTCAATAACTTTCCAGTTAAATACAAGAGAGAGATGTGAAATTTTCTGATAACGCGTATAAATTTCGGATGAATTTAATTTGATTCTCTACTTGAGGCCCTATACTATTCTTAGTCAATCCAAAAAGTAACACAATGGTTGAAATATTCGACAAGCTGATGTGCTTTTCTATTATGATGAGCACGTTAATGGTGTTATTGAGTGGGAAAAACAAGAAAAGATATAACATTAAACATTTTCTTTATAGTATATTTAAGCGTTACATGTGACTCGTTTCTTGTTGTTCCTATTCAATGAAAGTATTAACGTGCCTTTCATAAAAGAAAAATGTAACAGCTTGTCTAATACTTCAACGATTGTATTATTTTTCTCAATCAAACTAAAAACAGTGTGTGGCCTCAAATCAAGAATCAGATTACATTTATTCGAAATTCATAGACCTCTTGAAAAAAATATGAAAAAACTTACGTCGACAATCTTGAAGGTGAAGGCGACTTTTCATTATTGTTGATCGAAAGAGAAAGGGTTGTACGGTTTCTTGTAGAATTATCTGTAATCCATTCTTCACATCTTGCATAACATCATCAGTAACATATTCCTTATGCACACATCTCGGCTACATGTGTTGTATCATCAACCATTATTCTTAAAAAACCTCGTAGCAATGACAATGTTATAGAACAGAAGTGTCTTCCGACTATTTCTTGACATGGTATTAGAACCGGTAACTCCTACCATTGCTTCTTCTCGTTTTAATATAGTTCTCTGCGCAAAATTGAATTTGATTCGGTTCAACAGATCAACTAATTATTTGAAAGCGTTTCTCGGATACTCATATCTATTTTATTCACCTAATACTTGCATTTTTTGGAGAGGAAATTAGTCTACATGAAAAAAAATACAAAGCTGCATATGAAATCAGTAGTCTGTATTCTTTTTTGCTTGACATATTCGAACTTGATCTTTCGATCTCACACAATAATAAAATGAAGATTTTCTTCAAGTGCAAAAGCAATGTGTTATGCACTATCATAAAACACACTTTGTGATTTATATACATTTAGTAGGTCTAAAACAGGTGGGTTCCGATAATCGTTTTATATTTTAGTCCATATAAATACTTCCTTTTGGAAATAATTAAATACAAAAACCTTCTTATATATGAGTAAATAGATTAATAGATTAAAAACACAAACTCTTTGAATATCATCATTATCGATAACATTGTTAAACATAAGAGTACGAAGTGCGTGTCGTAGCTCTCAATTATTCTCGGAATCGATTAAAGATTGTTTGCTCATAGTGGCCAACTCTATCTCGTTTCATGATTAGAACAACGAGAAGAATAATAAAAATAGTGATGATGGAAATATTTGATTACTTTCGAACGATACACGCCAAATATTTTGAGAGTATTATTAGGTGAATAACTTTTTATTGACTATCAACATAGGTAAAAAAAAAAGAGAATCAAATAGAGAAAAAAAAACATGTATATTTATTCAAGTGTAACTGCTTGTATCATCATTATTTTTCCAGCACGTAACAACGCATGTTTCTGTACATGATCGTCATTTATCATAAAAAAATCAATGATTGACAGTAAATAGCATATCGATGCTTTTCGGTGCAATAATATTTGCACACTACTAACGAAAGTCGTAAGAATGAAAGATAAATCTTAGATATTTGCGACTGTGTAATACTTTTCATAAACAGAACGTGCATAACATTAGCATAAGAAAATATCGGTATTGTTTAGCAAATATCGATGTTACAAATTGTCAACTAACATTTCTATTTGTCTCGATGAATTCAACATTTCAGTAATCTACACTAACTGTTGAAAAGAGAATATTTGATCCGATGATGGCCCGTCATTCGTATATGGAAAAATGAATCAAACATTCCTTGTAGTTAATCAAATTATTCACTTAATGTTCAAAAATTAATCTGCTAATAGACAGATGAACAAGATATAAGCCGTTAATAGATGACAATTTTCTGATTGATCTTCTTCAAACTCATCGAGCGATGGGACAAGAACAGTGGCACAGTATGAGTCTTTTATTTATTACAAAATCTAATAATTTATTTTCGAATAGTTTTGTCCATGCTCGGTCCGAAAGTCAATCCTAGATTTTTCTTAAACACCATGCATTATATTTGATGAATAAATTCATAAAACTATTGAATCGACGTTCAAATATTTGGGTTTAGCCTTGTCGTTCTGCTCTATCGCAGTCGAGAAATGGATTCCGTCTCTATTGTAGTGACATGATCGTAATTCATTTTCAATGTTCTATGCAACAGAATTCATTTCTTTTCTTTTTTTTTTTACTCTGAAGATAAAAAAGAAACTGATATGAAGTATTTGTTGGGTGCAATAAAACACGCCACTTTTTACTGTTTTCTACAGAACAATATTCTTCTATTTCAAAAAACGATCCTCAAATAATAAAGATAAGTTATAATATTTGATTAAGAAGCAGACTGCCTTTTTGTTTCTGTTATAAAGTTTCTCCGCTTTCATAATACGGTATGTGCGTTATAAATGCAACTGATCCATTACATTAGAGAATGTGGATGTGTGTGTTAACAAAAGCTCTAGTTTTTTAATAATGCAAACATAAACAAGAATTCATGGTTGAATAACCAACAATGATAGTGAACAATAAACAGTGTATATAGTATCCGACAACAGCATCTAGCCACTTGGATTTCTCGTTCCTTGGGGTATGAATGTATAGTCTGAGAAAACAAATATAAAAAAGGAAAACAATGAGCGAATAAAAACAAAACAAAAAAAAACAATAATAACGCCAGTAAGAAAAGAAAATTCTGCACGAAAGACATAATAAATAAAGAAGACTGTTCTCTGTCAGTCGATTATGATGAAAAAGCAACTAAAGTGTGTGACAGGTTGTTCACTTTGAATATTATGTGTTAGTGTAATTAGGTTAAAGAAAACATGTGAGTTCCACATTTCAGCTCTAAAGAAGTTGCTCTAAATAACTCTGTTTTCTTTTGTTTATAGAAAAATGACTTGTTTCTTAATGTCCCAGCCAACTATTTCTGCAATCTTAAGAACACTCTCCATCATTCCAGTTGGTCCACAACATAATAAGAAACCATCATGTACAGGTCCGATAAGAGCTTTAGAAATGTATCCAGAACGACCTTTCCATCCATTTGTTGGACGTGAAAGACAATGAGATACTTCTTTGTAGCCATCAAGCTCCTGGCGCATAAGAATGTCTACCTCAGTCTTATTACAATCTACTACATGACATTTGATACCATCTTTGTGAGCAGATCGCAAAATTGGGTATATTCCCGTAATTCCACTTCCACCAGCAATCATTGTAAATCGACTGACTTGATGAGCGATATTTTTAATGACGAGAGTACCTCCAGTTTGATATTCAAAGTCTCCAAATGGCCCTTTGCATTCAACAGTATCACCGGGTTTAAGTCGATCAATGCATGCAGACATCTTGCCACCAGACCAGTTTCCACTGGCCCTATACAACTTTACAATCAAGTCGAATTTTCCAACTTGATCTGCTGTAGATGTAGGCGTAAATGCACGTACAACTTTTTTGCCTGACGATGAGATACATCGAAGGTACAGATGTTTTCCTGTTGGTACTCCTAATTTTTGGTGAGGATGTTTTAATGCAAATGTGAGTCG